GGGAAGGGTGCTAGTTAATGAAATGTTTTCAAGAATTCTGATTATCACCTTCATTTATTTTAGATTTTAATATTTATCTCACTTTAACCTATATCTTTTAAAGATATTTATTGTTTTATTCACTGTGGCAATCCTTCTAGCTGAATATTTATTTTTTGAGGTGGGGTCTCACTCTGTTGCCCAGGCTGGAGCACAGTGGTGTGATCACGGTTTGCCCCAGCCTCAACCTCCTGGATGCAGGTGATCCTTCCACCTTGGCCACCCAAGTAGCTGGGACTACAGGCAAGTGCTATCATACTCAGCTAATTTTTAAGCTTTTTTGTAGAGACGAGGTCTCACTATACTGCCCAGGCTGGTCTCAAACTTGTAGGCTCAAGCAACCTTCTCACCTTGGCCTCCCCAAGTGCTGGAATTACAGGCGTAAGAAACTGTGCCTGGTTGAGTTTTGAATTTTTAATTATTTCCTGAATTCTATCGCCCTTCCCCTTTAAAGATAAAATAAGCTTTCTTTTTCTTTTCTTTTTTTCTGAGTTGGAGTTTTACTTTGTTGCTCAGGCTGGAGTACAGTGGCATATTCACAGCTACTGCAGCCTCGACCTGCAGTCTTTCCAAGTAGCTGGAACTACAGGGGTGTGCCACCAAGCCTGCCTAATTATTTCTTTTAATTGTGCAGATGAGGTCTCACCAAGTTGCCCAGACTGGTTTCGAACTCCTGGGCTCAGCAATCCTATCGCCTCTGCCTCCCTAAGTGCTGGGATTATAGGTGTGAGCCACTGTGCCTGGCCTCCCCGAGTTTTCTAACTCTGATTTATGTTGCTTATTCATGCCTTCTATCATTTTCTTAATTTCTTATAAATCATTTTTAAATATTAGGCTGCAGGTTTCAACTCTTTTGTAAGCATATCTTTCTGGCATGCTTTCATTTCCTGAAAAGTTGTATCCTGTGTCATATTCTTTTTATCTTATAATAATTATATATTATATCATTTTACTATTGCTCATCTTATATTAGATTAGTTTTCCTTTTATGAAGAAGTATTAAACTGAACACATTTTCTTTTCTTAAATATTTTATTTTATTTTTATTTATTTGTTTATTTATTTATTTATTTTTGAGTTGGAGTCTCACTCTGTCACCCAGACTGGAGTGCAGTGACCTCTCCTGGCCACCGCAGCCTCGACCTGCCAGGTTCTGGCAATCCTTCCGCCTCAGCCTGCCGAGTAGCCGGAATTATAGGCGTGCACTACCACGCCCGGCTAATTTTTTGATTTATTGTAGAGATGAGGTCTTGCCAAGTTGCCCAGGCGGGTCTCGGGCCCACGGGTTCAGGCAATTCGCTCACCTCGGCCTTCCAAAGCGTGGGATTACAGGTTGAGCCACCGAGCCCGTCCAAATATTTTATT